CTTACCAAAACCTGCAACTAGATTTTGACGAACAAAAACCTGCAACTTCCTCAACAATGGCCTCCTCCGCCTCCCCCGAATCGAACAACATTGACAGCAGAGTCCAATCCACCGGCGCAGATAGCTGCGCTATCATGTTCTTACCCATGAAGCCAAACAACCACGCTATTGAACTTCGCAACACACTGTTCGATGATCGATTTGCAGTCATGATTGAGTTCTTCAAGAACTGTATTCTCCTTCCCGCCCTAACTCTTGCTGACACCGGCGTACCACTAAATTATGTCCAGCAATATTGGCAAACATGTGAGTTTGACCCAGAAAGCCATGAAATAATGGGGGACATGGATGCCCCAAACGATATGATATGCTCACTCAAAATATCGCGGGCTAAAGTTTCTCGAGTTCTGTGCATTCCCACTCGACGGGAACTTGGAATTGCCCAATACGACAAACCACCCACCACCGACGACATCCTCCGCTTCGTTAAAATGCTAGGTTACAATCGTAACCTTCGCAACGTCTCAGATTTCAAACGATTATTCCTCCCGCCGAAGTGGAACATGTTTTTCTCCATCCTCAACAGGGCTCTCACATGCAAACTGGGGTCATTGGACCAAGGGAACATCAACATAATGACAATCATGTATGGGCTGTTCTTCAACCTGAATCTTGACTATGCCTTTCTCATCTACAATGAGATTCATTCAACGGTGGTTAAGAAATGCAAACTCCAAGCCGCTGGCAAGCCTCTATCTGCTTCCCTCGTTTCCTCGTCCTCTTCATTGGGGACGCAATAAGGAAACATGGACTACCGGCTGAGGAGCCCTTCACTCCCGTCTACAAGATGCACGACCATCAACCAACCCTCTCGAAAGAGGGTTACACCATCAACCGCCCACTTTCCAGGGCTATGCTAACTGTCATTCCATCGACATCTGAGATACGCCAGACCTATGAACGCTCTATGCTGTCCCAGGAACCGAGGGCAGCTACCCCAGAGTGATTAGAGCCGTCGCCCGAACCAAGCGAGGGAGCACATGAGACATCTTCATCGGATGATGAAGATGATGATGATGATGCTACTCATCGTGCCTCCCCCGGCCCTACTCATAC